AGGGTCTGGAAGAGCACCGTAGTCCAGCAGAGTGGGTGACTGCGTCCGCCCATTCTGCCCTCGGTCGGCAGAGGGCTTCGCGCCCACACGTCCTGGCGCTCCCTTCATCTCCATGAGTCACGGAATCCCTTTGAACCTCAATTTATCTCTGTCCAAAGTGGATGGGTGTAATTTCTACCTCCCAGGAGTATGTCAAGGCATAACCATTCTGCTATAAAGTTTGAAAAACTCACAAGACATTCTTTCAAACTGCTCTCTTGCCAAGCCTTCTTAACTTTTCACAGATTGACCTAATACAAGCCGACAACAGACAGGCTGGGATGGGGGGTGTGCGCGTCACAAGCAAGACCTATCAGAGCTAATAACCCCAATTGCTAAATCCATTACTCTTGAGCTCTCATCTAGTTTCCTCCCTCTTTCCCCGCGATGGGAAAAGTTCATTGAAGAATTACTTTTGCAACATGATCTCTGTGTCTTAACATGGAAATCAAAAGGCTTCAGTCATCTCGTCACTTAAGATCAGCAGTGACATAGGATAAAGGCCATGAGAGGAAAGGTTTTGCCTATGAACCCCATCCCCGGCCTGGCATGCTTATCATAAGTAATAAGCTTTTATATTCATGGTGCATATGCCCCAATACCTCACTAAATTCTCTATCCAAAAGATACAACATTCTAACGAGAATAACAAAAAGAGTCCTCTTTATTTGGGTATTTTACTATTAATCCATCTCAGTATACATATTTGAATGACACAGAGGAACCCAGAATAGCTTGAGCAGATAGCTCATTGAGCTACAAAGCCTCTACCGAGAATACTTAAAAGAAACAAACTCCTAACTCTGTAGACATCTGAGAAAAGTTGACATGCACCGCTTTGTGCACGTTTCAGGCAACTGCGATGATTGTGGTGATTATAACTGATGTACCCAGGATCTCTCTCTGCCAGGTCTTGTGTCCTTTGCATCAGCCCTCCCCACACCCCGACCCAGCGCTGATTCAGAGTGGCCAGAGATAGGTTTAGGCTTCAAGATTCCCCAGCTCTAACCATGGCATGCAGTATACTCTCATAAACCGCTTGGCCCTGCCTGTTACTGAGGGGGAAGCAGACAAAGCAAGTTCCCAGTGGAGTGGACTGCCTGCCACACCACCTAATCGCTGTCTGTATTGGAAGTGTCCGGGGGGAGCTGCCCGACCTCTATCCAGCAGAGTCCTGCCTTAGGGGGATGGTCAGACTTGGGTTTTACTTCCTGCTTTAAAACACTCACACTTTGCCAGGTGAATTTACATGCCAGTTTGACAAATTATAAAATGCTTAACCCTGGCTTTAGACTATTTTTTATTTATATGAATTACAAACTAGACAATAGAGGTTTTCCTGTTTCAAAAATAGTATCTATTTCTGGTGACTTTTCCCCCCCTTTACATGAAGCTTTGCGCCAATTAACTTGTGCCCTCATAAAGCAGAATGTGGACGTTAGTGCCTGGGCTACATGGCCAATTATAGAGAGACACAGGGACACGCGAGTGTGTGTGATGCCGGCCGGAAGCCAGGGTGCTGCGGCGGAGCGGGAAAGGGCTAGTAGTCTCAGCTGCTGCCTGTGCTCGGATTGCTGCACTGAGAGGCGCACAACATGGCCTCCGCTAAGGGACTGGCGTATTGAACGCGTCTAAGAAATGACAGCTGCACCTTTCAGCACAGCCAGGGGTGGCCACTTCGGGTGAAGTTTCCGTATGTGATGAATGGACCATCTTACAGGCTCTCAGGACTTTCAACCTGAGCTTCAGTGAAGTGGGGAACAGGTCCCGCTGAGCTCTAACTCACAGAACATTTACTGATTGGGTAGAAATTAAGGCCCTAGCAATCATTTGGGAAAATCGATCATCCAAAAAATGCGTAACACGTACACTCATCACCTCTGAAAGGAATGCGAAGACAGTGGGGTTTGCTGAGAACAGACAAGATTAACCTGTGAAACCATTTTTAGAAAAACACAAGAAACTCTTTCTATTTGTATCTTTAAAAAAGTAGCTTTTATGATGCATAGAAAATATTTCAGGAGTCTACCTGTGCCCTATCTATCAATTAATTTCTTATTAATTAATGATGGGGGAGGTAGAACAGTGGATATATTACAGGGGGATCTTCAAAACTATTTTGCTAATTTCCTTAACCATTTCCCCTCATCCACTGAACTCTTTCTTTGAAAAGCTTCATCTTAACTATACTGCTAAGATGGTCCTGGACATATAATTGTAAATTTATTTTACTTGTTTTTAGAACAGTGTCAGCAAATTGGAACAGTCTCAACGTATATGAAGTAGTGAAGGTCGTATTTCGTATTATGGATTTTTTTGAGGTTGTTTATATGTTGAATGAAAACCTAGAAAAATGCAAGTTGTTTCTATTCCAAAATACTAAAAAGTAACTGGTGATTTTCTCAAGGCTTGTTCACTTTGAAGTTGAGACCAGATATGAAAAATACTAGTTTTCTTGAAAAGGTGTACATTTTTTCATATTCATGGCCGAGAAAATAGAAACAGGGATTATAATCGCTGTAGTAAAACTGGGTTTATGATTTATAAAACCATAAATTATGAGCTTGTAAAATATGAGTCCCCGGCATCGCTCCTGCTGGAATCAGAGTTGCAGCCTATTCCTCCTTTGTTTCTATGGTTCTTGAAACAGGTACGCTGCCGCAGTGTGGGAGGGTGGCTGCCCCTGGCAGTAAGGGGCTGTCCCCAGCAAGTCATTGTTCTGCCTACACTTTCCTCGGAGTGAGCAGGCTTCGGCTGCTGGCACCTCTCTTGCTTGTCTCCATGCCCTGCTAAGCTCGGTGTGCAGTGGCCCATGGTTATTAAATCTTTACCACCGGAGGAGCTGCTTAGGAGCAGTTATTTTCTGGGATTAGTAAGGCCCTCTGAATTCAACAAGTGACTCACAAATGGTCTTATTATTTCCTAATAATTAAAAGTGCGATTAACACCAGCAATTAGTTCCCATGATTTCTGAAAAGCAGGAATTCAGAAGATAATAATAGGCGAGCAAGGTAAGGAGCCATAGGATATCACTTGCATTTGAGTTCCTAAGACACAGATACACAAGAGTTAACCCACGTAAGACAAACTCCTTTTAATCCCATGAAACCAAATGAGACCTGTTTTACATAAACAGGCCACCTTCAGGAGGCTGTGTGTGGCTGAGTGCCCTGAAATGGAAGGCAAGACCTTTCTTGTCCATTACACTGGGATCAGCTCACACCAAGAGAGCCTGGGAAGATTTTCCATTCTGCTATGCAAAATTTCAGCTCTTTTTCAACATTTGAGAACAAAAAAAAAAAAAAAGGAAAAAAAACAAAGCGACCTTGTTTTTATCTCTGGGAACAGCTATTTTTAAATTTTTCTCAAAATTACCTGGTGGGATTCCAGCCAAAACTGAATGCCAATAGGTAACATTTAAACTTCCCAGAGCTCAGCTGGTTTATTCCACATATTCCACATTTTACATTTTGAAATTTAAAATTTGACCACAGATTTTGTTTTTTGGGGGGCTGGATAAAATAAGATGTGAGTTGGTTGGATAAGGCGTGATGTTATTGGTAAGGTACCCTTTAGTGAGAGTTTTCTGGGGCAGTAGCCACTCAAAACCCAATTGTCCATTTATATCATGTTGATTCTGCCAGGATTTCAAATGTGATGCTCTTTGGTTCTGCTGAGCCAGGATTGACATGCTGCTCTATCAAGAAAATGTATGGTCAGTCCATTCGTATGGGTTGGTTTGTAATAAAGTTAGAGCTTTTCCTGCCAAGTTTGGAATTATTTGGAAACTGAGTCATTCAGAAAACTCTTTTCCCACCCTCCAACATAAGAGGTTCAAACAGCCTGTCTCCTCCTATGCAAATTAAGTGACTATGAAGGAAGAAGCCAGGTAAATATGACTTGAGCATTATTTCTTAATGGTTTGATTATTTAAAAAGTCTTTGAGGGCAAAATTATTCTAGACATTGACTTTCCTTAAAGCATAGTCCTTATATTCTCCAACGTGAAAGGACTCCCTTTCTATACTCTTGTTCATGACCTACTGCCAGCCAGCTGCAACCCACATAATGATACCAGGATCTCATTTTTTTTATCCCAGCCTATTAAGGTAGGAATTTTCTCTCGCTTCTCAGGCCTTACAGTGGAATGTATTTATTTAAAATTAAAATGTAAACCTTAATCCCAGCTGTTACGAGTGAGTGAGTCCTCATATTTAGAAATAAGACTAACACAGCTGTGAGTATCTAGGCCACGTCGGGGGTGGGGGGCGTCTCCCTTCTCCCCGTCCCCAGTGGAAGGGAGAAAGGCTCCCACGCTAATCTGTTCTTTCCGGGAGGAAGGCAGAGCGCGTGCATTTCCAACCCTGGTCCCTTCTCTCCTGGAACAACTGCCGGGGCCCACACTTTACCTTTGGAGGAGAAGGAAGGTGTTCACATCACACCAGGCTCTAGGTTGTCATTTGGCTCCTGGTACAAAAAGATTTAACGTATACATCTGGCATCGCAGTGTCTACATCAGTACACTGAGACCTGTGTGATCCATCACAGAGCTGAAATGGGTATCTGACAAAGTCACAAAGCTCAAGGACTTCAGTGTCCCTCTTCTTCACGGGAGACCCTGGGGACTTAGTAGCCATTCATAACATCACTGCTAAGGTGCTGTTGGCCCAGAATTTCATGTAGGTGACTTGCCAGCTGACTTCTGAAAGTAGCTTCAGTCTCTTTAACCTACCACCCCATGTAGTGTTCAACCAAAGTGTCTGCCCCCTTGTTCTATGCTTTGTAGTTCAACTGTACGGGCAACAGGGCAGGGTGGGGGGCGGGGTGGAATTGACAAAAACCGGGTGCTCAACTGGGCCCCTTCACTGCTGAGTGCTAGTGGCCCCAGCTGAGGCCTCCTGGATGCCCTGAGAAGTGAGCGGCTGACATGTAACCAGTTTTAACTCTTCTCCCACCCCTTAGGATGACCCCAGCCCCGCCACCGTGGATGGCAATGAGACCTCCACTGCGACCACCAGTGCCTTCACCATCCAGGAGTACTTTGCCAAGCGGATGGCTGAGCTAAAGAACAAGCCACAGGTCATGGCTGCAGGGCCTGACCTTCCAGAGACCCAAATGGAAAGGAAAGAAGGAAAGAAAAGAAAGAAAGAGGCAAAAGATAAAAATGTGGAGAATTACACCCAATCCAAGATCAAGAAAAAGCGAGACCGAGTTGAGCAGCAGCTCGCAGACCCTCATGGGGACGAGAATCCTGGCGCTTCTGCTGAGGATGGAGAGGCTCACATGTGGCCACTGGATGGCCAGGACTTACCACCAAAGCCCAAAAAGAGAGAAAAGAAAAACCTACAAAAGCAAGTCGAGACAGTAGTGGATGCCACACTAGATGAAACACCAGTGAAAAAGAAGAAGAAAAAGAAGAAAGGTTCCAAATAAACCCTCTCCAGCCAGGGCCTCCCAGCCGCTCAGGTGTCGGGGCGCTGCCAGGCAAACGCCTTGGCCTGCAGTCAGGGCAGAGTTCACCCCAGAGAGTCTGTGCACATCCTTTAACATGCCCGCGGTTGCTGAGTCTCGCCCTCTCACCACATGTTTCCCAAATCATAGCCCCAGAAGAACTTCTTAATGTTCCAAATCATGGCTCTCAAAAACAAGTTTCTTTGTAGACTCTGAGACCTTCGCCATGAGTGTTCATTCATATTCGTATGCATGCATCAAGTGATGTATGTGTGCACCTGTGTGTGTAAATATATCACAATCTATATTTACTTTTGACTTACTTCAATAGCAGTGAATTATACTTCCTTCTGAAGAACTTAGTCTCATTAAAGGATTAAGGGTAATAGTTTAGATTCAGATAGTTCTTTTTGTTCTATAGCCAACCATAGATTTTTGCCAAGTAGGTATTATATGATTACATTCCCAAATCAGAAAGTTGGTTTGGTTTAGTTTACTGTAGTTTTGATGGGGAAATTGTTTTAATGCCCTCTCTTCCACTAAGCAGTGGCAGCCATGTGATCTGAGGCCTTCTCCCCAAGACTGCAAAGTTTCGGTGAACCGACAAGGGACAGTTTAACCTGCCAGCTCTCAGGGAGAGTAGGCAGTCCGTTCAGTGGCGCCTGAGGACAAATCCCCTACGGCGGGCTTCACCTTATTTATGACAGCCATGAGGTCCTCAGGAGGTTAAAAAAATTGGGAGTCTAAGGTCAAGAAATTAATTTTATCTGGAAATCCGTCACACTCTAGATTGAAACTGCCTTGTGAAAGTTCTTAAAAGTATTAGTAGTACATAAATGTAAAAGATACAGTTCAGTCCTGCTCAAACCAAATGCTGTCTCCTCGTCGCACTTATACGGGTTCTGCCACACCCTGGCGTCTCCCTGTGTGCTGTTTACACAGATAACTTCACACCCTCTTTGGGACACAGAATGAAAAAGAAAATGTATGCTTATGACTTAGAGGTCCAGCCCTATTGTTTTCTCTGCCTGTTTTTCCTCTCTTCCTTTCTTTGTTCTCTTTATCTCTTCCTTCTTTTCTTCTCCATCTTTTTGTCCATTGATTCCCTCATCCTAGCCCCCTACCCTTACTTTTCAATTCCAGTTTTCCTCTAACCCCTTTCTAGCTCCCCGTCTTGCTCTCGCAGTCTTGCTGTTCAGCTGCTTCTGAGAGACGGGTGTCCGAGTAGCTGCGGGGGGTGTGGCAGGGCGGGGCAGGCGGGTGCTCTTTTCCACTGATTTCGAGATCACTACTGGATAACACACAATCTGATGACCTTTTGCCCTGATTTTAACTGGGCGCGGTGTGGGGAAGAGTCATATGTTAGATATAAAGCATGGCCCCAAGAGTCTTAGAATTGAGAAAATATATTGAGAATGTTTGCTTTTAGTCTCTTAAGAATTCTGAAGGGTGTGAATCGTTTAAAAAATCACATGCACAACTCATAGATAAAAATTCTTACAAATTCAGAGCCTGAGGTCTAGTTCTGAGTTTTATCAAGGCCCCCAGAGTTTAGAATCCCAGGCTAAGGCACAGTCTAATAAAGCACCAAAGATTTTAAAAGTCACATGCCCAAGTCATCTCTGTGTGTCCTATCGTGTATGTGAAATGAGTTCCAGAAGGGGGTGGGATTGCGTGAAACCTCTTTCTCTCCATGTGTACATACAATAGGTATATATAGTTTTTTTTTTATTTTTTGCCTTTTATTAACTGTAACTTTTTTTTTAACAATAAAAGTGAGAGCCAGGAGAATATACTGAACTGTGTACAGGAGGAGGAAGCCAGTGAGAAGCTGTCTAGGAAGCAGGCGAGATGCATAGGTCTGGTGGGATGAGGGGCTGGCTGGGGAGACCAGAGTAGGGAGGTGCTGAAGGGAAGTTCTAGAAATTGGGAATTCCAAGGCAAGAGGGAAACACTGCAAGATTGTTTAGGTGCAGCTAAATAGAGGAAACCTGTAGACTGTAATTTTTATTATTTTAATGGACTGCAGAAAGGCTCCCTGGATGATTTGAGGAATTTCAGGGTAGCCTCATAAAAAAAGTACATCTCAGCAAAGAGCTTACAGTGGGGCCATTTGCTCTGAAGGGCGTGGAAGCGTAATTTTCTCTCTAGAAATCTGTAGCTTTCATTTTCCCAAGTGTCTCTTCTTCAGGCCACTTAGTTTTTTGGATCTAAGTGGAAATTAGAACAATGAAATAAATACACTTGAGAGTTTTTAGCCATATTTCTTAGATATATTTCTTTTTTTTTAAATTCTCACATGAGGACATTGTTTCATAGCTTTTTAGAAAGAGAGGAAAGGGGAGAGAGAGAAACATTAATTGGTTGCCTCTCATAGACTCCTTGACTGGAGATCGAACCCACAACCAAGGCATGTGCCGTGACACTCCAACTGAGCCACACCAGCCAGAGTGACACAATATTTCTTAAATTGTTAATGTATGAACCATATTTTTTGCCTTTAATTTTTTCACTTAGTAAAAAACACAAGGGCTGTCCAGAAGGTGTCTAGCCATGTAATATGAAAAATAGAGACGTTTATTGAAGAAGATACAAGAAACATTGTACATGGGACAATGATGCCTCAGTCCCCTTCAAAGCAGGCACCTTGGGACCTCACACAGTCCTCCCAATAGCCATCCGCTGTCCTGTCATATTTTCCTGAATCTCATCAATGGTCTTATATCTCTTCCCCTTCAAAGGTGATGTTAGTTTAAGGAAAAGCCAGAAGTCGCAGGGCACCAAATCTGGGCTAAAGGGGTACTGAGTCACCTGGGTGATTTGCTGGTTCGCCAAAACCCTGCATGAGATATGTTGCATGAGTGGGCAAGTTGTCGTGATGAAGCTGCCGGTCACCAGTTGCCCATAGCTGTGGCCTTCTGAATCACCCAAATAGTTTCTATGGAGGAATGCTCAAGCTTAACGCAAAATTTCATGCATATTTGTTACTCTGCTCTCTAACGTAACGGCCACCCAGTACACATGCTGTCAGTGTAGGCATTAGATGCCATTGAGTTGCACGCATGTGCACCCCCGCCAATGACTAGTACTGTGAAGTCATCATTGTTCACACATGTGTGTTCCAGTCCACTCTCCTTGGCTGCCAGGCTACGTGGATGTTGTGCAAACCATTCTTGTTCTATTAACAATGGCTGGACTTTTTCCGGACAGACCTCATATGTTTGTATTCTTCAATGCTTTCCTTGGCATCCTTCAGTTTTAAGAGAGAAAGTAGGTACCCAAGAGAAGATTTATATAATGAAGAGGTTCTTAAATGTTACATTACCCTTCTTTCCTCTCTGTTAATAGAGAATTAATTACTACACGAGACCCTAATGTGCCTGGCCCTATTCCAAGCACTTTATGTAAATCAGCTCATGTAGTCCTCAACCCAGTAAATAAACATTATTGTTAGTTATCCCCTTTTACAGATAAACTCTGTTTTTATAAAAGGGCCTCTTTCCATTTTTATTATGAGATTTCAGTTGCTCCCAAAGAACCAGTGAAAGCAGGTGGCAAACTAAAGAGTCTTAACAATGAACTGGAGTTAGTATTTATTGATATATGAGCTATAGAAAATACGTTCAGGTAGCCATTTTAAATTCTCAATGGAGTTTCCTTTCCAACTTGGTCAAGAGGTTGGTGGAAAATTGGCTAAGTAGCTCCTTAAAACCTGTTTGCTGGGCTATAAGAAAAAAGAATTTCTTCTAATTTGCAAGAAATAGTGATACTTCCAAAGGCGAAACCAAAATGAGCATTGGTTTTACACCACAGTGCATATCTCTGCTTCTCTCCTCCCTCACCTGTTGGCTGACTCTGCAGGAACAAGCTGGGACCTGCCTCTTTTTTTTTTTTTTTTTTTTTTTTTTTTTTTTGGAGAAACAACATGAGAGAAATATTTCAGCAACATCTACCTGAGTGATCTCAGCCTGGACCAGCAAGCAGCGGCTGTATTTATAGATTTGAGTAAGAACTCTCCCGCCTTCACCCTGTTTATCTCATGGGTTCTGCAGCCAGTGCAGTTTGGAGCCTGTCGTGCTGGCCGTGGGCTGGGGAGGTCAGATGTGCGCTGCGATGTGCGATTTTATAGCTCTCGGTTATTAGCAAATTAGTATCATCTCCTAATAAAAAGGATGACTAACGCCTTGCCCAAAAGTATACTATCTAGTTAGGAAATACTGAATACACTAAAATGGCATGTGCAAAGCCTTTATGGAGCCAGAAAAAGCGGAGATGAAGGCAGAGGGAGACAGCAAGGAAAACAGGCGGTGGGAAGGGGACTGCACTCGGTCGCCACAGCGCCGCGAGCGGCCGCAGCGTGTGGGCGAGCACAGTCGCGCCCTGGGGCTCTTTTTTCTCACCTGAGTTGAATTTTTGTAAGCATTAGGCATGAACTTTCAAAGGAAGAATTTTGTAATTAGTTACATCTTGTATTTCGTGTATTGACTTCCTTTGAGAAATGTCCATGGCTGCTGAGAAGCTATTATGCTAAAAACATTTGCTGAGCACCAACTTTGGTGCTCAGGACGAAGCCCAGGCCAAGTCAGGACTAACTGCTCCATTACAAGGTCCACCCACGTTGAAGACCCAACAGCTTGTGTCATTTAGAGTGGGCCGTCACGTCCTAGAACACCGTCAATGGGAGGCACTCAGGATCTGGCCGCCTCCGCATTGGCTAGATGGTGTTCTGGCACCTTTAATCTTCATGCAAATGTTCGTGAAGGTGGGCTGTGATCTGTAAGCAGTTCCTTGCTAAATCATTATTTGACTTCAACCTGAGGAGTGACTTTCTACTAAAATCTCCCTTATTAACATTTCTAACTGTGATAAATAAGCAAAATTGTATGTACATTCTTCCACATAGAGTGGATTAAAAAATATCTTTTGCTTAAGTGGAGAGTATGAGAAAAATAGACCTCACCTCTCTCTCTTAACCTCCCCCTACTCCATCCCTCCCGTCACTAGCACATCTGCTGAGGAAACCGGGTGTAGAAGGACTAGGGGAGGTAACCTTGCAGTGGGCACACTTCACCTAATGACCAGGGACACCCTTTGACCTGGGATGAAACAAAAAACAGATATTAACAAACATTTGTTCGAGAAATGGGAAACTGCTGAAGGCAAACTGCAACTTCAGCCTTCAAGACTTGGGGAGATGAGGCTACGAGGATCCAGAGGTGAGCGCCCCAGGGCCCCAACTGACGGAGCGTCCTCATTTCCTCCGACCCTCACCAGTCATGTGGCTTCCCCCAGGTGGTGGCTTTATTCCAGACTGTGTGCTCATCGTCTCCCTTCAACTAGCCTGGACTCCCTAAAACTCCTTCCCTGCATACTCCTTGGCTCTCCTGCTGTCAACTAAGCCTTCTCTGAGAAGGACAC